CGCCAGAGGAAGCGGAATGTGCAGTCGTGGTGCCCTAGCACAGTAAGAACACTGCAACATTTCTGATAAGCCATCAGACAACTGTTGCAACACAGCCTAGCTAATGAATGAAGCACTAGGAAAAAAGGTGAGGATGCAGCATGGCAGGTCCTTCAAATAAAATTAAACCCTCAGGGAAGTCACTATTAACATTTTGCAAGGAGCATACCCCCTCATCAATCATATTAGCAAGACACACTTGTCCCAAGTTCTGCTCAATTATTGTAAGCTCAGAAGGAAAACAAAACACTGCCAGAGAAGAAATCCCAAATGTGCTCCACTGCCACAAAGAGCTACAGATAGTGGACAACATATGAGACATATTTTGGTGGAGGTCTGTAGCCAAGCCCACAATATTAAGAATAATAAGCAATCTATGGCTGTTCAGAACATATCGTTTTCTATACAGGACTGAAAGGAAATCATAATTCAAATACAGCGTATTACCAGTTATAAGAGACTGCTTCCTTACAAGAAACTGTGGCCTCTCCCAAGCACTCTGGGTCCGAAGCTACACCAGTTTGTGTGGCATCACAGTATCTTTTGAAGGAGTAATCTGGAATCATTTAACATTTCCAGAGGTGCAACTCTGTAGCTTATCCAAACAGAACAGATTTTGCTGAGGTTGAAATTTACCATTAAAATATCTAATTTAACCAGGAAACCACTCAAGAACATCTCAGGCAGATAAATACATATTATTCCAGCTGGAATAAGCATTTCTTAAAGGAACACCCAGTTTAGGGGCTCTTCATTGCCACAAAACTCTTAGGAGTTGTAGAAAAGACAGGCAATGCTCTGTGCTGAGAGTAAATAGACCCCTGAGCCCAGCCCCTTCACGCAGCTGTGCCACAGGAGAGCATGTTCCTTCACACCACACGGCAGGAACTGTCACTGAAAGGATTCCTGGACTTCAGGCAATGGAAAGCATGAAACCACACCTGCACAAATAAAATGTTAACCTACTCTCCACGAGTTGTTAGGTAATGGATATTAACTGCCCAAACGGAAAAACTGGGTTGCAGAGACAAGAGCATTCACCTCACGAAACTTCAAAGGATCACCCTAGCTGGCACTTTTGGGATATTTCCAGCTGTACTTGCAACAGCTGCTCTCATGCCAAAAAGACATTCATTAGGCTGTAACTTTCCAAAACAAAAGTTTGCAAGTGTTACAAGTGTTACAATGATAGAGAATTCAGAGCACCTTCTGGAATGTAATATCCTGAATGTACACATACACAGTCTCACAAAGTGAGCCCAAAACACATGCATTTCCCTCAGTCAATGCTTTTCTAACTACTATAAACAGGAGACACGTGTTCGAGCACACTGTGTGAGTGGCAGCAAGACTTAGAATGTTTCCTCATGCACTGAGATACAAGGTATTGTGGATGAAAATATATTTGACTCCTTGCAGTGCCATTCACAGCATAATCTGGACAGGTAGAATCTGCCTTTGCAACCTGACCTCAGCAATACTGATGCAGCGACCAAAACACAACTTGTATCTCTCACCTCTAACTAGAAATACGATTCCTTATCACTGAAATAACATCCACATAACACTGAACACAGTAGCTATGTCATGGAAAAAGTGAACAATCACACAATTTTATCTTGTTTCCTAATTAAGAACTCGCATTTATGGACGCTCAGATGTTAAAAGACAAAAATAAACAGAGCAGCCCTATTAAAAGAGGTGGAAAATACCACTATGTGGAAATAACAAGACCTCAAGCATGTTAGCACGAAATCCTTTGACATATTTTTTCCCAACGTACTGCCTGACCAACACAGAAAACAATGAAAACACAGTAAGACATTACCTTGATGCAGACGGACATTCTACCTTAGCTGACTTCTGGCAGTCTCTACATAGTAAAAACCTGCTACTACCCCTGAAGAAACTTATTTGCAAGGCATCTCAATAAAGACACTCCCACCTCAGAACACTGCTATCAAGACTTCTACTAAGATAACTATGAGTAGAAGTTAATGCTGATTGATGGCCAAAACCTGCTTCACATCCTGCATTGTGAATTAATCAGGTTTGCTTTCCTTCTAAGGCACTGTGATGGAAAACCAGTCATTCTAAGACAATGAATAGTCCCACAGAAGATGCAAAGAGCATTCTGTATAGTCTCCAGGTGTTTACTTCCTTCTGTCTCTCTGCATAATAGCCCGCTACCCATAAAATTCAGCTCTGCCTCCCCTGGCAGCCACTTAAGCCAAAGGCAGCTGGGTTTAGGCTATGCTCAGTCAGTTCATAGGAAGGTCGTCAAGAGGTGACATATCTCTCTCAACTTGGCCCTGAAAAGAGAAAGATCCCAGCAGGAGGGATGGTACCTTCACTCAAAGAGCAAGGCAATTTCCAAAAATAAATGTAGACTTTTTTCAGTGGCACATGACCAACTGAGCCAGAAAAAAAACTTCCATTACAGGCAACAGCTGAGCTTAGAAAGCCAAGATCCTCCTGCAAGGCATCAAAAGTCCTACAGTCATACTACTGAACCATTCCATGCACTGGGGCTTATACTTCCCACTGCCCATTTTTATTGGCCCAGATTCTTTCTGGTATCCTGAAGGCCTGGACAACCTTCCACCTGTCTTGCATTAACAGCCGAGCACAGAGCAACCCCACAAAGGTTGATCCAGCCCAGTCCCACTCCTGCTGCAGCCAGAGCTGCATCTGCAGAAAATGCAACACCTAAGAGGGGCACACGAACAGGCAAGACTTGCAATAGAAACTCTAAAAAAAGAAATCTTCTGTAGCATTAAAACCGTGCAAAGTTCTTCTTTCTCCAGATATGCATAAGCATGAAAAAATGCAGACTACACATGCCAAAGAGACAGAGAACCCCAAAGGCATTATTGCCCTTGGATGGAAAGTATTTTGCCACCACTAACACCCCGAAAGCACAGTGAGACCAGAGACCACCTGTGCTGGGCACTGGAACAGTAAAGCAGAGCTCCTGCCTTGAAGAACACGTCAAGACTACACCATACACAAGCAGATCAGTAGAGAAAGAACATGGGCAAGCAATAAGGAAGCACAGTGCACAGATACACCATTAACAGCTTAGGTTTGGGGACTGAGCTCCCTTCAGCTTCAGTGAACTAAAACACTTGCCTGACAGGTGCCCACCTGTGACCTGCTCACCCGGGAAAGCTTGGGCTAACTGAAGACTGGAAAACACAGAAGCACCACTCCCACACTAGTCACTGTGGACTGTGGCCACTGGCAGGACTTTTCCAGACCTTCTGACTCTACAGGCATGACATAACATCATGTTAGAGCCATGGCCTCTGAGGGAAGAATCAGCTTCCATTAGCTTCTTTCCATCTTAGCAGATGCTGTGTTTGAAGATATTCCAGAGACAGTATTTCAGATTAATTTCACAGAGGTTTCCTACAAGCAGCTGTGTCAGATGGCTGCCCCCTGGGCTATCAGCACACAAAGAAGCTCATGCATTAGAACAAGCATCTACACAATGCTAATGGAAACTGTCCTTGTGAGAAAACACGGGATTCACTGGACCAAAAACTAGTTCTACAAACAACTTTCAGACTGATTACACATCACTTCTCACCCGCTGGCATCTTGCCACTCGTGTAACCCACTTCTACACTCTTCTACACTCAGTCTCACTATTCTCAGTCATTCTGTCTGTGGTTTGCCCAAAGCAGTTCTCCTCTTCCTAGCTCCTGGAGCACTTCCATTTGTGAAGCCTATGTACATGCACATCCTTCACCATCACTAAGTTCTGTGCTCTGCATATGCAAATTTTTTCTACAGGAAGTCAACCTAGTAATTCTGTCCTGCTCTCCAAATTCCAGCTTTGGAGTAACCTGCTCACAAATGAACAACACCTCAAGTCACTTTAAAGCTATGAAATGATCACTTGCTTCCTGCTCCACACAACAGCCTCAGCATGTGTCATTAAAGGTGCACGGGCTTTCAGCAGACACATGTTGCAAACTCCTTCACATCTGCTGCCTGCCGAGCCCAGCACTCCCTTGAGTACCACAATCACAGAGGCTTTCTCTAGTAGCTTAAAGTATTTTGGAACGTTTCTACTCCAGCCCATCTGGCTACTCAGCCACTGAGTTTCTCCCTACAAACACATCGATCTAGCAAAGCCCTTTCACAAAGGCTCGTATCCTGCTGCCCTACAGGAACTTTTTTTTTTCCCACTTGAATTTTACGCCTCTAATTTTTGTGAAACACTTGTGCAGACAACACACCACAGCCCAGAGACGCAAGGAACCAGGGTACCTTCCTGAATCTGCCCTGTAACTCTCATGAGAAGACCTGATCAGTCTGGTAAGATGAGTGGGCCAAAGGACACCCACCCACCTCGTTAATGCATTAGGCTCCTCCTGGTTCCAAGGCAGGTGTTCATAAGCACATCTAGCCTGGACCATACCTTTAATCATAGAGATAGTGATGACATCCACACCACTCAGCTTGTCTCTCAGTTCTGCCAGATACAACTCTGAGTTCAGCTGGCAGCACAGTAAATCCTTCCTGTTGTTCCCCATGGTCTGGATTATAGATGACACAGGCCCACGGATGCCGGGTAGCCACTGCCTGGCTTCAGGGAAGCGGCTGTAGGGCCATCACCGTTCATTTCGGGGGCAAAGAGGCAGCTTTCCACAGCACGGCCACGATGATACACCCCCTTCTGAGATCCATGGCCATCGCACATGGCACACACTCGCCAGAAGCTGCAACATGGAGGCAAGGCAGCCGCGCTCTAGGGCTGAATGCCCCTGCCCCGCCGGTCCCCGGAGCCGCTCCTGCTGGAAGCACAGCGGCGACCGGGGCTCGCTGGACATCAGCCCCTGCCTGCGGCCGGGCCTCCATGCCACTGAGCAGCGCGGCCCGGCAGGGCAGGGATGCTGCGGGGGCCGCCTCCTGCCCGGCCCCGCTCGTGTCCGAGCTCCGCGGCGGCTCACCTGGGCACGCAGCTCGGTGCCGAGCGGTCGATCTCCCACGTGGCGAAGAGGTTCATGGGCACTGGCACCGGCACCGGGCTGGCCACTGCCATCGCGGCCGCCGTCGCCACCGCCCCGCCGGCCACCGCCGGAGGCCCCGCAGCAGGGCCCGAGCCCAGCGCGCTGCCCGCCGCCGCCATCGCCGCCATCCCGCCGCCGTTGGCGCTGGGGGGCGGCGCGAGCCCCTCGCCTCAGCGACGGCCTCCACCCCAGCGAGCGCGCGCCCGCGCCTTTCGCGGCCCGTGACCAATCAGAGCGCAGTTGGGGCGCGGGCACGAGCCAACCAGAGCCGGGAAAAAGGGCGAGGACCGCGACTGATAGCGAACAGCCAATCGGAGCCGAGCGAGAGGCGCGGCCGGGGCGACCAGTGTCCAATCGGAGAGGCCGGCGGGGCGGGGCCAGCCAATGGGGAGCGGCGCCGCTGCCCCGGCTTGGTGGGGGTAGGAGGGCGCGGCGTCACTCCCTTTAAAGCGCCTGGGTCCCGGCCCGCGGGAGCGTGCCCAGGGGCGCGGTTGGACGCTCGTCTTACTGTCGCGGCTGGTCTGTCTGTCCGTCCTCGCACCCGGGCAGAGGCGGAGAATTACCAGGGCCTTCGCCTTGCACGAGCTGCTGTGCCGGAGGTGGCGGCGAAGATGTCCGCGGATGCGACATTTCCCAGTGCGATGGCGAGCCACGGAGCGCCGCGAGGAGAGAGTGCCCTCCGCGGGGTGAACAGCAGGGCGGGCAGCGCATGGGCCTGAAGAGGAACAGAGCAGCTGGACCCGGGGACACGGCGGGTTGAAGCCAAAAAGAAGCCAAGGCCTCTGATTGACTCTTTCCTCGAAATACTTGGGAACTCCAAACACGCTACAGGGAGAGAGGCAGAAATCCCCTTTAGTCCCACTGAACGTCTCCAGGGGAATACAGCAAAAGGAGGAACTTCATCGGCTAGAAACTGCAAGCGGTGTCTGCCGTGGGAAAAAGCCATTTGTGACCTGGAGACCATGGGCAGAGCTTCAGCAGCTGAGAAAGCATCGCGGATTGTAAAGTACGTGCAGGGCAGAGCACCCCTAGGGACAGAGCTGAGGGCAAGCCTGGACACTGCAGCCGAACAAGTGCGCTCTGTTCTGGTAGAAAGCATAAAGGTTCCCCTACTGGACCTTGCCTCCAGCAGAAGTTTCTGTCTGAAATGGCTCTGCCTCTTGAAAAAAAATGGGACATCAGGAAAATCAAATCATCAGAGTAGGGTGGTACTGCTTGAGGGCTCCTGAAAGGAAGCAGAGGTGGTCTGAGAGCTGGATTGAGAACTATGTGAATAAAACAGCCAAGTCAATAGTGGTCAAAACAGAAAACAAAGAAAAGGCAGTAGCTTCTGTGCTCCTCAATGCCTTTAGCAGTGACAGAGTTTTCCATGGATGCATTGCTGTTACAGGCAGACTGTAAAATTTAGCTCATGCCAATAGAGGAATTAGACTTGAAGAAGTGGCAGCAGTAAAATCTTGCAAAGCAGCCTAAAACATCCACTGTTTCTACTGTCAATCTTGAGTACAGCACCGGTGTTTTCAAAACATTACCAGTAAACATTTCAGGGACACCCTCCTTATACTGATGTATAGTTTGTAGTCTGTCCCTTGCACCTCTTCTTGTTACTTGTGTTCATCAATTCTACATTTTCTCTGCTCTCGAGGTTCAGTTTGGTCAGTAACATGCTGGTAATTCACATCAGATTCCAGTTTGACTAGATGGATAACCTGAACTATCATCAAACTTTTACTTTTTGTTCCCTGCTCACCTTCCTAGCCCATTTCTACATATGGTAAATGGCACGGATCACAGCAGAGTTGCCCAGACCTCCTGACTTGCTCACAAAACAGCTTGATTTTTGCTTTAATGCATTTGCTTTCCTTTAAGTAAGTCATGAATGCACAAGAGGACTTTTGCTTTCACCCTTGACAGCCTTGGTTCTCTAAGAACATTTTCTAGGGGATCTTAGCAGAGGCCTTTGTGTAAGAATAGCTGAACCAAGGATGAGCTGCATTTTCATACCAGCTGTGTGCCAGCCACCAGCTGAGGTTTGCTTCACTGTGAATATGATCCTTGAGGACATCAGGGAAAGTATCCAAGAAACCCTTGCTCTTCAGCATCCAAGTAAATTGTTTGATATGTCCCTTCAGAAAAGCCTTTTACGGTTTTTTTTATCACGGTGTCACTGCTATCTGAATGGACCATGCCTATGAGCTCTTCCCCAGTACTACTACAGCTTTGACACAAGTGCCCTTTAACATGCTGCTTTTCCATGATGGTCCTTTCATTCTTCCTCTAAGTTGCTCCCAGCAGAAGTTACAACACCCACACACTGTCCCATCAAGGACACATATGCCTGTGTTTGAAATTAAGGTTTTTTGATAGACACTATTTTCTCAGAGGGCTAGCTTGCACCCCAAAGGACATTGTCACCACTGCATAGCTCTATTCCTTCCATTCTGTATTTTTGACAAATGGTTCCTTGAATTGACTCTTATTAATATATATTCATATATTAATTCCTTGTTTTTCTACTTGTCATACCTAATTTCTTGCTTCTCCATTCTGGTGTCACCTTCCAATGTATTGCTCACATTAGGCATTTTCATGATGTTAAAACACCCTTCACTCAGAAACTGTTCCCAGTTTGGTTGGGTTTCTTTATTGCTTTCCTGAGAAATATTCATAATTTCCAGTCACTTCTCACACTCCGTGGCCAGGCTGTGGGGGTCACAAAGCTCTTTTTGAGCAGTTGAAGTTCTCAACACAGTCCCCCAGCCACTGCCAGCCTTTCTCCATTACAGCCACTGCTTGCTGTTCTTTGCTGACAAGCTTCCTCTGCTTCCCACAGTTCCCCTTTGAGGATGTGTCCTAGGTTACAATGTAAAGATGTGCCCAAAAGTGTGTATTCTATGACCATCTGTTGAAACCAGGTGGGGCAGTGATCCTTATAACTGTGGGAGATATCCTCTGCTAATAGGCCATCTCTTAAGAACCAGGTGGGGCAGTAATCTTTATCTTTTCCACTACCCATCTTTCCTCCAGGAAGATATGGGCCATTGAGTCCCATTGCATGACTGATAAAATTACATCATCCCATTGTAAAATGCTGCAGCCGGGGGGGGGGGCGAGGAGCCAAACATTTCCTACCTAGATAAAAATAGAGATTTGGAACACCAAGGCAGCCCTTACCTACTGCTTTCCAGAGGACAACAGCTACCAGACAGGATCACTGCTTCAATAAGACCACTTCATCTGGACTGCTACCACCATCCTAACTAGTGGAGTGTCAGGTTGTATTCTGACTCTGTCAGTAGTTTTCTTTTGTACCATTGCATGCATTTTATTTTTTCTCTTTTTTCCTATTAAACTGTATTTCTGACTTGGAGTCTCTCACTGGTTTTGCTTTCAAACCAGCACAGGATGTTAACATGACTGATGGATTTCTCCATCTCTCTCCCAACAGTCTTTGGGTGCATTGCTGTCACTACCCAAAGGGACTTTTCAGTGTGTCAGGAAAATTAATCCACAAACACCAGAGGTTTATGTCCAAAAAGGAGACAGAGGAGTCCTTTTTGCTTTATTCAAATAACGGGAGAGGCCATGGGACATTCCCCTGGGATCTCTCAAATTTTTGGAGGACGCAGCCTCCTTTTTATCCTATTTTCCCGGCCGCATTTCCCTCTCTCTTTCCCCA